CCTAATACTTTTATGATAGTTACGGCATTACGATAACTACCGGTCGAGGCGGTTCCCGAGGGAGGGAGGGGGGGGGAGGCGACCGCTAGGTAGACCCTAGCTCAGCAGAACCACAATTGAGAGCTGGGTTTCAAATAAGAACGCTAGGTGTAGCCACCACTTACACGAGGCCGGTGATGTGACCTGCAGCGACCTTAACGTTGGACCTCTAACTGGACACCCTATACCCCCCTCCCCCTGTTCATCACTATTTATGTACTCATAAACACAAAAACTAACACGTACAAGCTCACGTCGCGTTTTGCAAAAGTATACTTTCTGCTGGCTGGCATCGATTGTTTCAGTTTTGTCTACGATGATGAAGATGGAGTCGCTGCGGCCATCGACTTCTGCTTCGATATTGAACTCCCTCCGCACTTTGAACCGGCAAACGTAGACGGAGAAGTGGCTGAATTTCACCTCCTTTCCGTGCCCGAGGTTAGCAAAGACTTCATTTGCATGTCCTCTCGTCCTTAAAAGTAGTTGTTTTCTCGTTCTTTTTATCATACCTTTCAATCCATTTTTCCATGGATGCACGTATTTGAGGATTTTATTTAAAGCCCTTGTAAACGTGGCCGATTATACTTTCATGTAGAATCGATTATAGAGTACAAGTTCACCCCGAAAGGTTTTGCCCTTTTGAACGACTGGTTTTAAAATAATGCAGTCTAACTTGAATTTATATCTCCCTTCAGGATATATTCAACACTTGACGATTTTAAACCAGTACTTATTTGCTTTGCAACAATTTCGGATTTCCGGAACCAGTGCATTTGGCAGGGGCGCCGATTTTAGCGCTCTCCTATTCTCAAAAATTCTTTACCCTTAATTTGGTTCAGAAGGCGGAAAAAGGGAAGGTTTGTTGCTGCCAGATCTGAAAACTATGGTAGCGGAGGCAGGACTTCCATGTGGGATTATTATTACAATTGTGATTTGGTATTGTTGTGCTGGCAGATAGGACTTTTACTGTTGAGCGACGCTTGCTGTTCTTTTTGTAGTTTTTAATAACGCTTTCCCAAGCCATCATCATAAAACTTCGCTGTTGTCGCACCGCCAAGAAGCTGTACATGCTTTTTTGACAGGAGACATTAGACTGGGGCCCTCACGAACTGTAAAACGCGACAACTAGCGCTAATCGTCAATAGAGGTCCAATCCTTCTCTGGTCGATGTATACTGTCAAGTGCAATCGGTTCTAGAGTAATTGTTGTACTTAACTACCACCAGGACTTGTTTTGCTGACTCTAGTATCTCTATATTTGTCAACCGGTGTGGCCTATGCTCTGCGATCAAAATCGATGATCTCGACAATAGTCATTCGGTCGATTTTCTCTCGCTCTCTTTCTCGGCTTGACCTGATTGTTCATCGATTTTTAATTGGCCATCACGATTAATGAATTTCTGAAGCGATGGCAGTAGTAGGCGTCTTGCATCGTCAGTGGACTTCTGCATTCGCACTGTAGCCACCTTGCTGATGCCGTCTTATTCTTTGGAGACAGCCAAATATCTTACGATTTCACGAGCCAACAAAATTCGGGTGCTTTATTCCTGTACTCAGAAATTGCAAACTGCGTATATAAATTGGCTCCTGTAAATGCATTAAATCTGTGACGGCTCCTTATGATTTTTTCGTAGTCAAATTCAAATCTAAACATTTGTGGTGAGTGAAGCAGAACCCGGCTTATTCGTTCTAAAATTCACTCGAAAGAGCACTTTCATTTACCCTGAAAGTACTCGTATGGATGCTAAATAAAACAATTTATTTATTTGAGTCAACCGAATAAATATCGATGAACGGCAGCAAAAGGAACAAAGCGGTCACCAGATATGCATTGCGGCTCCGAATTCATGCAATATGCCGACATTTGCGAAAGATTGATACTCTTTCGCTAATCGGCATTGGAGTAAGCTTATAATACTGATCATCGTGTAGCCTATTGTCAAGTCATTTCAGCCACGATGGGATGCTTGCCTTTTAACAAGCTTCTTTCCGATCGCCAGCTCCATAAGTAGTATGCATTTTATCATCAATTTGACTACCTTTATAAATTCAAATATATTTTGTTAAAAACATGCACGAAAAAAATTACTTATTGTACTCGTTTGATAGGAAATTACGCCTCCTTTAAATTCTATACTTAAAGAAAGGGTATATATTGTACTACAATATCTCTCGAAATGCATTATAAACTATTCTACAGTAGGTGGACAATCTCATGCAATCCTACGATTTTTACAAGTAACTCCCTCTTACTCAAACGCAGCTCGAGCTCAACGATTTTTTCAAGTAACTCCCTCTTACTCAAACGCAGCCCAAGCTGTGGCCTAACGTCTTACATGAATAAAGTTATGATCGTTCTTCACAATAGGGCATATTATGATTTATGAAGGACTCTTCACAATAGGGCATATTATGATTTATGAAGGAATATAACGTTTTATAGAAACAAAGGGCATATTATGATTTATGAAGGAATATAACATTTTATAGAAACACCAGCTTAGGATTTATGAAGGAATATAACGTTTTATAGAAACACCAGCTTTTTTAACGAAGAAAAATTCCGAAAAAGTGGAAATCGGGCGTACTAGGCAAACTCAAGTTTTACATGTTCATGCAAAACCACCGAGTAAATAAAGCAGCACAAGTAAAATTTCGTTGGAAAATGATCGTTTTGTCAAGTTTTTGAATAAATATGCTTCCATATTACGTGCACTATA